ACGGAGGTGGAGATCACAGTACCCATCATCGAGTCAGATACTTGTCTCAATTCAATTAGTTATATATGTATACATTACTCGATCATACCTGATTTGTGTTTTTGGATTTTAATTTTGTAGCAATGGAGAAAATCTCAGACAGTTTTCCAGGGTTTTGCCTTAAAGCTACGCTTTGCGGTGCTGGAGGATACGTGCTCGGTATGTGATACTCTGTGTTTTTTCCTCTTTTTGTTAATTCTGTTTACAAGCCATGATTGATTGTTTATTCTTCAGGTGGTTTGGCAACAAGATCTATTGAAGAGGATGACCTGGAAGCTGAGCAGGTAAAAGAGTGATATTTATATTTTTGAGCTTTGTTTGACCATTCCATGTAAATGGCATTAACCATTCTTCTTGTTCATATGTTTCAGACAGTCATCGAGTTGCTTGAATATTCGGATGAAAATCAAAGGACCGTTGAGAAACTTGAAAAGTCTAAAACCTCACTCTGATCATCTTAGTCTACCTTTCCTTATCTGCTGTCTGAACCACATTGTCTATGTTGCTCATTAGAGACTATAACAATAGCATCTATCCTGTTTGTAAACCATCAAACCTATTCTTAAATCATCAGTGTTTATGTTATTACTATCTGTGCATTTGAATGCATCTTTAGGACCCTGAAACCTGTGATAAAGAAACAAAACCTGCAAGTTACTTCACCTCCTTTGACAAGCACTCGCCTCTGTTTTGCGAATATTGAAGAGACCTTTTTCCTGCAGGCCAAAATGTAGAAATCCATGTCTCCTATGACACGGTCTAAAGATGGACACTGTGTTTTGCTTGATGAAGTGTTGTAATGGTGATTATATCAGTAATCATCTCGGTGTGGATGAAACTCATTATTACAGAGGAGAAGGTGTAATCCTCAAAACACTTGTGTCTAAATCTTGTCTTTTTGATGATGTTGATTTTGTTTGTAGAGTTGCAAACTCGGTTAATTTGTAGATATATAGTAATACCTATTTGTTTGTAAACCATTTAAACGTTAAAGCAATGTTTATGTTATTTGTGCATTTGCCATCTTTGCGCAATGCCACAAATAATCCAGATTTGAAACAAGCTGCCGATAGAATAATACGTATTACCGTAAATTCTAAGAAGATCATTGGTACTGAATTATTCTCTCTGAGTGAAGCTAGACAACTTCAAACTATTACCGTAAACTCGAGGTCTTCAATCCAAACACTATCATCTAAATAACAAGAAAAGTTAACAAGATCATTGTTTATTTTAAAACAATCATCCTTGTTTATAACATCTTTTGATAATTTAATTTTTGCATGTAGAACTCTCCGTTGATTTTTCAGTCACTAAATTGCCTCTAAACTAATGGAAAGACCTTGTCAAACAGGTTGCCTTTTACGTTACATATATTTTCTTAAAGTTAAAAGTGATGTAGGTTTATTTTAGTTTTGGGCTTTGCAGGTTTTGGTTTTGTTTGGTGTTATATTGGTTAGTAGATAGCTTTATCTCCAAGCCTTGACACTATTTTGTTTTTAAGTAGTAGTTGTACAATTATCTCTCTTCATGTACCGTTAAACGGTGGTTTTTGATTGGATAAAACCATAAAAAAAGAGAAGCTCAAACTAAAATTCACATAAACCGAAAATAAAATATTGTTTTGATACCCCTTGCAAACAAAGCAGCTGGCCTTATACGAGCTTCTATTGGCCCTTCATCATCTTCAAATATCATCTCCATCTCTTTCATCTTTACTTTTAACCTTGCTCTCCATGTCTTCTATATTTTTTCCAAAGATCTTTCGCATCCTTTTCTCTAGCTCTTCCATCTTATGTCTCATCCTCTTCTCCATATCTACCATCAATTATGTTGTTATTACTGGATTTCCCATCAGCAACATAAATGATATGTTGATCGAATGCCTTAAAAGGTGTTGATCAAGCTCGACAGTTGTCTCCTTTTCTTGCAATTGTTCCACTTTCGAAAACATCTTATAAAACACCAAGCAAAGCTCCAAAAAATCTTCCTACACCTCTTGATGTAGGTTTACTTTAATCCTATTAAGCTTAGCCATGGTAACAATCAACCTCAGTGCACATTGACGCTCTTGTCACACCGTCCCTTTAAATACATTTGTAGGCAGTGTGGGACCCACAGCAGTAGCTTCGTCAAGTCCACTCAATGGGGTGAAGATTTTTTTCATGAGTATCATTGATACCATGACTAGGTTGAATGGGATGAAAGAGAAAATTAGTTTATATTGTTACAAGTGATGAAAAATAACGCAAGCGGTACAATCGAGACACAAATTGATTTGTACCTGGTTAAGATTAAAAAAATGAAATTTGCTTTCAAATTGATACGATTAAAAACTATAAAACATAATTAATATATTTGCTTTGTATCAATCTGGACCCAAATCAATCCATGTTTGACTCAATCAAGATAGAATTGTTCAGAAAAGAGTATAGAGGACACAATCTATGTGAGAGAAGATAAAATGTGTAGAATATTGAACAAAGAGTAAAAATCAAACCTTTTGATATTGGACTAAACTAAAAATAGTGGCAATTGCAAATGAAGGACTTGCAAATAGTGCAAATCAAGAAGTTTAGGGAGGTTATTCCATGGCTATTATCACGTGCTTTTGAAGCGGGGGTGTGATAAAAGCAAAAGATGTGCTATGAACACCATTGACACCATGGATAGGCTCAATCAATTTAAGAGGAAGATGTGCTAATTTACGCTGCTTCCGGTGTAGAAGAGAAAGCAACCCACTACAATTCGGATACTGCCTCTCAAGGTTTTAGTAGACTCTTAACTGGTTTACTCGGTGGAACGGTCGTATTGGGATCTAAGTGGCTAACGTACCAATTGATTGAAGATCACAAAAAGAAGAAAGTGGATGTGATGATTCGAGAGAAGCTTGAGAGGGTTCAGATTGAGATTATGGAAACTGTTGGTAGTGAATTAATAGAATATGTGGAAGGGATTAGAGAAGAATTTCAGAGAGATATCATAGAAGCTAAGGAAAAGATAGAGAAGAAACTTGAAGAAGAGATGAGCGTGATGGAGGATAAGATTGAGAAGAAACTTGAAGAAGAGATGAGTGTGATGAAGGCTAAGATGGAGAAGAAACTTAAAGAAGAGATGAGCGAGATGTAGAACAGATTCAAACAAATGATGAAGACCAAAAGACAAATAGAAGAACTTAAGCGGAAACAGTATCAGAGGAAAAGGGATTCCAAACTTGTTGAAACGGTCTCTCACTTTACTTACTTCTTCATAATTCGTTGAAAGAAAACTTAGATCGTGACAAACTGGCAACTTACTAAATTTGGTTTCTTTGATTTCTTTCAGGAAGGTGAAGACTAGTTTTCCTGCTCGTGAATTTGACTTCTCCAACAACACTGAACTTGTTGCTTTTTTAGTTAAACAAGACTAGTTTTAGTTGCTTTTCAATTCTTGTGGAATTGCATATCTGATGATTCGTCAAATTGTTTTAGTAGTGTTTTGTCAAATTTTCATTCAAGACTTTTGGTTGTTTCTTAGTTTTGTTGTGAACTCACTTCTCAATGTTAAGTAAAGAATCTTGTTCATTCTACTATGCAAATATTTCTTAACTGTCTGTTTTCTATTTTTTCCTCTTTAGAAGTTTATATGATTTCATTACAGGATTGCTGTTGGATGATTTAAACCATTTGATGGTTGAAGTATCAAAGGATTTGTCTTGTTTTCTCTAAACTTGTTGAGGTGAGAGCTTGATGTCTAAATGGTTGTTAAAGTGTTGGGTATGTCTTTGCTTTGAATAGCAATAGATGAGTTACGCGATGACTACGGTTGAGAGTGATGATGGTATGCACTCTAGCATCCATTATGAATCACCAGCTGCTGCTACTATTGGCAATGGCTGCAGAAGCAGAGAAAGCAAGTGTCCTAAAGAAAGTGCCATGGACCTCAACTGAAGATGGGATTTTGATTAACTATGTCAGGAAGCACGGCGAGGTAGCTGGAATGCTGTGCAGAGCTTGAGGCCAAACTTGAAGAAAAGAGCATTTAGCCAAGAAGAAGAACAGTTCATTGTTGAAATGCATGCCAAGATGGGGAATAAATGGGCACAAATGGCTGAACATGTAAGTAGTTTTGTAAGACCAGACCTGATTATAATTCACTATCATAAATTGATGTTTTTTGTGAGCCTAAAGGCTAAATCTCTGGTATTGACCTTTTTCTTTCTTACCAGTTGCCTGGTCGAACAGATATATAATGAGATTAAAAATTATTGGAACACTCGTATCAAGAGGCGACGACGAGCAGGCGTCCATGTTGAAGACCTGCGGTGGGGTGAAGAGAAGAGTAATATCATAAGAGTAGATAGAAGAAGACGTCAAGATTTCTTGCAGTTGGGGAGTTCCAAAGGACTATTTCCTGCTGACCAAAAATACAGTTCATAAGCGAATTA